AGTCCATTCTGTATCCTTTTTCAAAAGATCAGACGATGGCTTAGTCTACTCCGCATAATCTTGCTGAATTTATGCAAGCAATTGGCAAGCCCAAGGAATTGACGCAGATCCTTCACATGTACGTGGGACTGGCCATTCCTTGATAGATTTTACCTTTTCCAGGTCTGTTAGTACACCACGTGTACCTACGATGCAGCTCATTACAGGTATCTGCGAGGACCTCTATTACGCACTTTTGCAAGTTAACGTATAATTGGGCGTCACCCAGCGTCTGCAACACACCGTCTAAATGACGCTTATGCGACTCTATTTCGATCAGATCGTCCTCCGCCTTACTATGCACGAGTACATCGTCAAAGTAATGGGGCGCGTAGGCACGGTGCTGACGCATCACGTGAGCCACGACTCGGTTGAATGTTGCCGGAGCATTTTTATAACCCTCATGGCATCACAAGCCACTCCCATAGCATACCGCTTCGGGGGTTCTTACTGCCATTCTGGCTACATCAGTATCTTTCATGAGAACTTGATAGTAGCCATCCTTCAGATCCAGCGCGGAAAAGATAGTTGACTTTCCCATGGAATTCAACAAGACATCTTTTCGTGGGATCGGCGTTTGAGCCGGAATGGTGGCCGTGTTCAGCTTATTATAAGCACGAACCACGCGCCATCCACCTGTTTCTTTACGCACACAGAAGATCGGGCTGCAGTGAGGCGACTTGCTCTCACGTACATGTCCCGCCTTAGCTCGCTTGTCGAAGAACTCATCGATGTAATCGACTTGTTCCTTCGGTAACGGCCATTGCCTGGTCACACAATACTTGATGCCAGGCTCCAGGTCAATTTCGTGCCTGATGCCCCTATCGGCCGGTAGGCGGCTCGGCACTTCTGCTGGAAACACATCACGGTGTTTCCACAGAACATCATAAAACGGGTTGCCTTCGAGGCCTACCATCCTTGAGCAGCAAACCGTTTCTTTTTGTCGGTCTCCAAGACGCTCTCATCCATTGTGAATGAAAAGCAACAGTCCACCACGTTCTCTTCTGGAACTGGTGCGACTATCTCGTGGATCTTTCCTTCCTTTACTTCGGACAGGAACAGATCCCACGTCATCGCCGAGAGATTTACTATCATCCTCGGCAGATGCCAAGACAAGTTGGAGCACCTCACCTGAGGATGCCTCCGGCATCTTGTCTTCGACGGCCTCGAACAACTCTTTCGAGGGTCCGTCCTCTTGGACGGAGACTGATCCAAGGGTCACTCGTTTCGACGTGCCCTTGATCGTCTTAATACGTCTGGTACTCGTTGTTCGAGTCACCACGACCTTTGACCTGGGACAAGGTGTTTTTGCTGTATTAGCCAACGCACTCCTTCCAACCGCACCAGGCTCATGGCTCTGTGCTGGTTCTTGTGTCGCTTGACTTGCTTGTCAGCCCACCATCAACTGCCACAGGCTCTCGGCTCTGTGCAGGACTATTGGACGCATGACTATCTGTCATCGCCCCATTCACTACACCAGTCTTTTCGAACTGGATAGGAATATGTGTCACCTGGCTTTCCGCCAGGGCACTTCCAACTACACCACTCCTTTCGAGCTGGGTAGTTCCTGGTGTCGATTGACATACCGTCATCGCACCCTCGACTGTGTTGGACACAGCATCAGCCACATAAGCCTCTCGCAAGAACACATCCTTTCCGGTGTCTTGCGTAGAGCTAGCGACTATGCGTGTACGCCAGTCTATCCATGATTGGTGTTTAGCCAACCAAGGCATGCCTAGGATGAGGTCATACGGACTCTCCATACCTAGCACTGTGAACTTCTCTTTACAAGAGAAGTCACTGAAACTGAAGACGAGTTCAACTTGAACTCCCTCCGATTTAACGAGCGCGCCGTTCGCTAAACGAACGATCGCCTCTTCTCGCTTGCCTTCCTGGCAATGCGACTCATAACTCGCCGGTCTCTTTTTCAGAGCCGCGAGTTTCACAAAGTTTTGTGATGCACCCGAATCCACGAGAAGGGTCATCACTTGGTCATAGCCTCGTACTCGAGCGCTATAGACCAAAAGGGTTGAGGTCCGACCTTTTGGAACCTCAGGGACTATGCTACCCATTTGTTCGATCACTCTGAACTTAGGGGTAGCTTCAGAGTCCGCGACAGTAGGGCATCCCGCCCCTACTGCGCTCCCGCACTTCCCTACCCATCTTGGGCAGGTGCTGAACCCGTGCGTCGTGCACGCTGGTTTTTCGCACCTCCCTTCGGGTTGGGAGACCTTTTGCTGGCTGCCTTAGCACCAGCAGCTACTTTGGCATAGCAGCGAGCCATCATATGGCCTCGCTTGCCGCACTTGTAGCAGATCACATCTGCATTGCCTAACTCCATAGGAGTGGCATCAGACCTCTCGGACGACGGCCTGTAATAGGCTGTCGCCGAGACGCTGTTGTAGGATTGCTCCTCAACTAAGGCAATGTCAATTGCCTCTTCCATCGTCGCTGGCACCTTTCTGAAAAGGGCCTGACGCGATGGGCCGTGCCTAAGTTCATTCATGAACGTGGCCACCTTGATACGTTCCGGTATTGGCTCCCCATTAATGGACGCCGACAGCGAACGCATCTCCTGCACAAATTCTTGCAGAGAGCGTTTCGCCTGTCGTGCTCCAAAGAAGCGCGCCATAAGCAACACTTTGTTGTTAGGCGGCTGATACATGGCGCGAATCTTTGTTTTAAAGATCGCCCATGATGGGAATGCATCAGCATTTGCCATCAGCGCAGAGTATGCCCACTCTGACGCTTTGCCACGCAAGTTGGACATGGCATACGACACCATTCTGGTTTCGTCTTCGATGAGCTGCGCCACTCCACATTGCTCAATTGCTAAAACCTAGTGAACAATCGTGTGAGGGCTAGTTCCATCGAACTTCGGAGGGTCCATCCGAATGGGCCTCGGTTGAGTAGGCCGGTCAGAGAGCGTCTCAACAGTTCTGTTGAGCGCCTCATTACGTGCCTGCTCAAGACTAAGCTCATCCTGAGTCTTATTGATGGACTAAGCGGTGGCTTGGCTGTTTACCTCGGACGCGTTTCTACGCTGTCCGAGCACAAACGCCTCAAATTGCTCCAACTGAGCAACATGTTGCTCAGGGAGGACAATGCAAGAGATTGACCAGGGCTTGTTCACCAAGTCCCTGCGCCATATGCTCTGCCAACTCCCTATGATGCTGGGGGAGGTGAGGGAAGTCACTCCAGTCCATATTAAGGACCATCTTAACCACACGCACGCTCAGAGAGACGGGTCGTGGGAAGGACTACTAGTGCTACCAAGTGTAGACGGGCACTTCTACGAAGTTGCCTCGTGCTACTAGCACACACCTTCAGTACAAGCGAGGAAGCGGTTTTACCGTCTTACCTTCGCGTGCGAGGGTGGTTATGAGGTTGGTCGACTGCTTAAGCAGTCGTACCACCAGTTGCCTCTCGCTTAAGCGAGAGTGCAACGAACTTCTAAAACAAGAAGTCACCGACGTCACGCCCAGAAGCTTTTCAGCTTCTCGTGCGTGGTGCTTTCGATTTAGCAAATTCAAGACTGAGCTATATTTAATGAATTATAATTTAATATAAACTTAACTACTGATTGGCTATATATATATATATAGAAGTAGGCTAAATGCAAACGCCATTTTGAGCTGTCGTGTAACAGGGCATCTAGTTACACGTAAACATTAAGTAATATACTTAAACGTTTGGTCTAAAAGTATCCATGATTACTTTTGACCTGTCACTTGGGTGCGATACACAAATGTGATCCACCCTCGTGAATGTGATATCCATTTATGGATTTACATGGGAAGGGATGACGCTAGTTGAAGATAGGTATCGCGACGTCTCAGAAGGACGTCATTCGCAAACTTAAATCTAGATTTAAGTTCATGCGTCAGGATACGCTTCTAAAGAGTCGCGTATCCGTTTTTTTGTTGCTTTTATTCCAAATATTAACTCTCCTGGTATGATACCGGTTTTCAATCATTCCGGTATTACCAAAAGGTGCTTCTTTGTTTTTGACTAATTTTCAGACTTATGTTTTGTTTAACAAAGCAGCAATACGTCAATGATTTACTTTCTAGGCAAGCAAACATTCACTTTTTTGAATAATTATCATTAACAAATAGGCTTTATCATATCGATCGATCGATCGAACTGTGGTGATTTATTTAGCGTCAATCAAGTATCCTTTCGTCTTCAGTCCACGGGAACGCAACAAACAGCTACGGTGTACTGGTGCTGTGCGCTTGAGCTCGTTTATATCATTCAATACAAGCTCCAGCGACTCGGCTAATCTTTGTCAAGATTTGAAGCTCGTGTAGACAGGTCGGGCGGGAACCAGGAGGGCCAACACGATGTGGTTCCTCTGTCTTGTCATCTCATGACGCTTTCTACAGCTTCCAGTCTCCATTCCAGCCTGTATTTTCCACTGACAGCTTCGGGTTGGGCGTCGATTGAAACTTGTCGTTTGACGTGTGATCTTGTCGCTGGGACCAAATAACAGCGATAGCAAGGCACTGCATAACACTCTTGAGCGTCAATGCTGCTTCTGCCTCACACCGTCGTCCTGATGCTCTGCTTTTTATCTAGTGCGCGACTGTTTCTTCATCCAAAGATAAACTGTCACTTTCAGCTTGTCGGCTTTGCCGAGTGCACGAGTCATCATCACTCGCTTTCGATCCCTCCATGGAAAACAGCACCACGTCAGATGCAGCGAGAAGCGAGTACACGACTTGTCATCGCTCTTTGATTACTATTCGAGATGCAGCAAGAAGCGATTCAAGCTATGTTTGTTGTGGCCTGCAGTACCGCAATGATCCACTCTTACCAAAATCATTGGTCACCTTGACGTCGTGATCCTCGAAGCAGTCTTCTTCCGAGCGTTCTACGTGCGGACTCATCCCTCCAATATATTTGTTAGTATATATCGTTTTCATGCGGCCTCTTGGTTGAGCATGGAGTCACTCCAGCTAGCATAGCGATGATATACCGATGCTGGTAGCTCCAGTCGATACAGTAGCAGCCAGAGGTGCGTCTTTGACCCAGATTCTTAGCGTATCTAGCTCATCCGGCACGCCTTCGCAACGCACTGCAGGGGTTCCAGGGCTGAAAGACCTGTGCTGAGCACCAGCTGCTGGTTCCCATTCCGTTTTAAGTTCAATATCGGGTCGATATCGTGTTAGAAGCTCGCGTAGTAGTCGAGCAAAATCGCTACGGACAGTAGTAGAGATATGTGCGATCTCCAATGCCCGTGCACGCAAATCAGTCGTACGATTGCACTGCAGCAGGTCCGCGATCCATGTAAGGCAGAAACTAAACTTTTTGAGGTTAGCCTTGCAAATGCCGACCCGCAGCAAATGTAGCAGCTCCGTCTCGCTCGCAAGTCGAGGACACTTGCGCACAACAATGGTCTCAACACGTGCGAATAGCGCGTCCTCGTGTTCCTTTCCATGGATTCCGTGACCATAGCACTTTTCGCACAGCTCGTACTCGTCGCCAGCAAGTAGACGGCACGTGCGGCAAACCCACTTCATACCTACGAGCGGCCCGCGTCCGCAGCCATCGCATACTGTTTCATCTTCTACCTCTGTTGACCCCACAAGCATACCCAATGGCATTGGTGACGCATGTAATGAAGAGCTAGTAGTGAGTGACTGCTGCGACTTGTGACGACTTAAGCGGTCAAACACACTTCCCACAATCTTTTTGATTTTGCCATCCTTGCCTTCTTTTTCGCGCGGAGGTGTCGGTATCAACTCGCCATCGGAACCAAAAGGAAATAGACCCATCGGGGATGGAGACTGTGCAGGTGATGGCAGCGCACCCATAGTAATTGTGTGCGTGTGTGTCGTCTCCTCTACGAAAGCTGGACCTGTGCGTTTAGGAGTCAGTGTGAAACGTCGTGATGATTTTTCCAGCGGCTTCTCCAGTGAAGGAATGGCAGCACGTACTGCTGCTGATCCACTAAGAGGTCGTGAGACGAACATAGCCTTGGTCGCGTGCAGTCCGCGGGGTCCGTGTGGGGTGGGAGTAAGAGCAGTACCACGCCGATCCAGCTCCACGCAGTCAAACAGATGCGGTGCTTCAGTCTCCTCCGTCTCCTTCACTAATTGTACCTCTAGAGCTAGCAATTCCCCATTATTTTCAGTAAAGGAACCGCCTACAACGGACAATGCAGATGGTGGTGGCTTGTCCCCTGTAGCATTCTCAGTTCCTGTCGTTCCATGTGCCTGCGTCGTCGTGCACACTCTAAAATCCATCGTCTGTTTTCGATAAACACGACTGAAAAACTGCAACTGCTGTAAGTCATCGACAGCATCCAGTAACGCTGGTAACAGATACAGAAACAAGATACGACTGAGGTCCTCCGAGACGTCGGTGAACACAAGGTCATCAATGTTTCCACTGTTTCTCTGCTCAATTGCCGCAAGTAATGGCTGTAGTTTATTCCTGTCGATTTGAGAAAATTTCTCCAATTGAGCATTAGCTTGAGCAAGAGCTTTTACTCGACTAGAAACGCCACGTTTGCACTTCCAGGGTGTCCACTTGCCATCCTTTCTCATGTCCTGTTCTTGTCCTTCCATGTCCTCTTTTTCGTCGTCTCTTCCGCTATTGTTTGTAGATTGATAAGCATTTACTTGCTGCAAATAGCGGTCTTTCCATTGAGCTACTGTTCCTTCCAGCTCTTCCAGTCGTCGTTGCATTACACGAAACTGTTGATCCTTTAGCTGAATGTAATTTGCTTTTAAGCAAAGATCACGAGTTAGTCCGGCATTTTCCTCTTGCAACAGTGTCAATTGTGCCTGCAACGCTGCTAAATTATGCTGCAGCATCGCGGTCGTCAGCATATTATTGATCGCCGTGTACGACGCTCTTGATCCTAGTTTAGTGTTTTTAGTATTGTTTCGTGTAAAATAATTATTGTGCTAGCATTGCAGACACAGAGAGTATACAGCAGTATATTTATTGAGAATGTATACTCTTTCTTTTACGTACACCATTTTGTGACAGAGTTACTATTATCACTATCGAGAAATCTCTTTTTTCTAATAATATTCCCGATAGTGATATCCCGAGCATCCAAGGTTCATCCGCCTCTCTCTCTCTCTCGATCGTGTCCTGCCAGGTAGCGACCATTTTCTCACATCCCTCCCTCCCTCCGTACCCCGCTATCGCTTTCTTTCAAAAAGGTTCACTGCAATTTCCAATTTGCCATCATTCGGAATCATGTGCGATTCTTTCCAGCTCCCTCTTGTTCCGTGGATGCACTTCCTGCTTATGTACGCTTGTTTCTTAGCGCACGAAGCATGCTATCCACCCCTTCTTTTTCCAGGCCCAGCGGTGTCTGGGAATACGCGCTCGATATCAGCCCGCACTCTCTGAAGCAGCTCCGGTGCCGGCGCTGGAAGTTACCACAGATATCGTCCATGTATAATCAACACTTGTCCGCTCCTGCGCATTCCCAGAGTATATGTGAGTCTTTCGTGTTGCCCGGCCAGATGCCTCTTGCATGTCGAGTTCTCTTCACATCCGTAGTTCAGATTCAACTGATAAGTAGCTGCTATGTAGCATATCCAGACCTGTGTAGTCCGTAAGAGTATGTCTGTGTACTAGAGCCGTGCCGGGGACTGTGACATTAGGAAGTAGCTGCCATCCTGAGCGTCGTCGCAGTGTTGTTGCCTGGTGATTACGCCGTAAGTGCTGGATGCAGCTGTCATTTAGTGCGATGGAACGGTTTGCGTTGTAATCGTGCATGTTGTTGATGGAGGGTGTTAAATTCCATAAAACTACGGATGCGCTGTGAATGTAAGTGCCGCGTTTCGTGTGTGCTGTTGTATATTCACCAACTCCTGCTAATGAGTTTCAAGCACATCTTGGATTCGACTATCCAATAAACGCCATTGTTGGCTTGATCAAGGACGATAAGCACGAAGTTGCTTCGGGTGTGTGCTTGATGGCACTCATGTAGCCCCTAGCCTGACACTGTCCAGGTATACTTGTCAAGTACCTCGATTCGTTCCGCAAGCTCAGTCGGTATTTGCATTACTTCCTGCTACGCGCAGATAGGACTTGCCACTAGTATGGCTGTTGCCATAGTTTCCGTTTACGAATCATGTGGTAAGTGTTCAGTCCCGAACTTGAAGAGCAGCGTTAATCCATTGTTGAAACGCGCTTCTCTCAGTCTTCCGCTTCTTTTTTGTTTGTTGCCTTAGTCCCGTGCTACCCGGGACCTTCCTTTGGCTTTCCTGACTCCTGTGAGACTTGCTTGTCATCTCCATAGAATCCGGACGAATGCATTTGCAATGATGAACGTCTACATATTCTCTGTTCACTGCAAGTGTGAAGTAAAGACGACACGTTTGCAATGAGTTGAGATAGAATAGCGACCAACAGCTAGAGTAAGGCAGTATCTCTCTTCCAAGGTGTGAGCCATTTATTTCATCATCACCCGGTCAAGGCTTCCTGGTTTTTGTAAAGTACCGATTTGTGCGAGTGCTTGGTTCCAAGTCGCGACGATCGATTAAAAGTGTACGGTACTAGTAGTTACGACGTTGTTTACGCTAAGGCACAAGCCGCGCGCCGGCACTTTCTGCTTGAACCTTAGAAGCTGCAGAGCAACGGACCATACGTAATCTTGACGTTCAGCTACATCTCTTTGAGCGTCAACATTGCGTTGGACTCGCGAATAAGACAAAGGCGATTCAGACCAAGGACGGGTCTCAACTCATTGCAAACGTGTCGTCTTTACTTCACACTTGCAGTGAACAGAGAATCTGTAGTCGTTCACGTTCATTGCAGCTGCAATTTTTCCATTATCGATAAGACGGCCACACAAAAGGTCTTAAAATTGTAGCGAGTTGTGCGTTGCTGTTAATTGACGTTAGTGTTATTGACGTTATTGATGCGTTTGACGCTGGCAATCAACTTCATCCGAGAACCACTTTGCTTGCAATGTACAATACGAATCCGTTGTCCGTTTCAAGATACAGCTGGTCGAATATTTACACTCAAATCGATGTTTCAGACTCAGCTGGTCTACTAAAGTTTAGCGTCGACATAGTGTATGTGTTGATGCTCCAACTCGCTCGATACTCTCTCTGCATCTTATGAGGTAGTTGTCTCGCAGCGGCTCTTGCATTGCATGCATTTACTGCTCTGCTCACTTTCAATCTCACCTTGTCACCCTACACTCGAAACTACCCAAACCAAACCAGTTATGACGATCCTGCTCGAGTCCTTACGCGTGCTTACCACCTGCTCGTCCGTGTTGCTCAACGTCTCTCCGTGGCCGGAATTTGCGCGCATACATCGCCAACGCACCCCTGGGCCGCTGACTGTATTGCCGGTTGTCATGCTCTTCTGCAACTCTTTTTTGTGGACAATGTACGGCTTCATGGTCGGCCAGCTCTTCCCGCTCTTCGCCACCTGTTTCTTAGGTCAGTGTACATGCGCTGGCTTCATCGCTGTTTACTATCGCTGGAGTCCAGACCGACCAGCGGTACGTCGAATCATTGCAAAGGCGGGCTCCGTCATGGCGCTCTGCATGGCCTACGTAATCCTGGGCGCTCACGGAGTTACGAACCAGTCACGAGAACAGGTGGTTACTACGTTGGCAATGATGTGCATCTCCATCAACATTTGCCTCTATGTGTCACCACTAGATACCATGAAACGGGTGGTACAAACCAAATCGGCAGCGTCGCTGCCCATTACGCTGTGCTCGGCGAACTTGCTCAACGGGCTCTTGTGGGTGGCGTTCGGCATCACCGAGGGTGACTTGTACGTGCTTACGCCAAACGCTATTGGCTCCGTGCTTAGCATTGTACAGGTGGTGCTCTACTACACTTACTACAGTACGGAAGAGTCTCGTCAGGAGGAGATGGAGATCCTAGCTGCTGCAACTGCACTGGAAGCTGTGACTAAGTCCAGAAATTCTCAGAGATTAACGACCTCATATGGCAGTCTAAACAAAGCCCCGGTGATAGCAGCGTTTAACCCGCACACTTACCACTCGGTCATTAATGTGCACGCTGAACAGGAAAAGGAGTCGCTGATAGCAGTAGCTGCTGCCAGCTAAACGAGATAAAGTTTAAAATGGATGCATATTGTTCGTTACACTATGAATGTCAGAGGTCTACTTGTCCTCCCACAAGTCGAGACTTGCACGAAAGGACAAACATCACCTTACAAAACTTCTTGCTCCAGTTAACTAAACAACTAGCTGCTGCAGACTCCGCCGCCCAGATAGAAATCGCCGTGGTATACAAAGAATATGTACTAGGGAAATCCATGGAGTTTGCAGACTCACTCACCAAACTTGGCTGTTTTGTTCTTCCAAATGAAGGGATCAATGATTATGTCGCAAGCATCGGTGGATCCGAGGCTTGAGCAGTACAAGTACACTTTTACTTTCCGAGCGCGACTACAGTCTTCGAGCATCAGTAGGAGGATCAGAAGTGGGCGCATTAACCCCTTGGTCGATCGGAGCATCTAACGATAACATTTGACTTGTTAACATCGGTGAATCCGAACACCCGGGGTTCTGAGGAGTCGGACATTCAATCTTGCCACATGGACCGAGCGCAACTACAGTCATGGTAGGTAAAATATCGTCTCGTTTCGGGTCGGGGAAAGGAGTCGGCGTCACAGGCGGATAGTCCCCAGGCGGTGAAATTGGTGAAATCGGTTGCATAGGCGGTAGTTTCGAATATGAGGGAAAACTCGCACATTTTGGTTCACCGAAACCATCGCACGCTACTACAGTATTGTCAAGAGGTCCAGGATTTCCTTGGGAAGGAGGAAAAGTCGGCATAACAATCGGAACATCAGACGGTGAAGTTGGTGAAATTGGTTCCGTAGACGGTGGATTCCAAAATTGGGGGGTCGTAGGCACACAATTCGGTGTGATACACCCAATGTTCGCAACTACAGTAATGACATTAGGATCGCTAGGCTCCGTGGGGGGGAGAGGAGTAGGAATTGTCGGAGGAGCTTCATATAAGGGTGGAGCTGCAAGAGGCGCATCAGGGGGCCCGAATTGAGAAACAGGCGCATGGCTCAAAGGGTTCGAGAATGGAGAAACAGACGCTGGGTCCGCAGGGTTATGGAATGACTGAGGGGTCGCAGTCACGGTAAGCGTCTTCACGTTTTCCATGTCGGCAGAGACGGCGACGACAGCCAATGCCGCGGCCAGAAGTGTATTGCTGATGATCTTCATTATTTATCAAAAACTTGATCTGCTGAGGTCCAAATGCTCTCGACGGAGAAAATTGAGAAGTGAGTTTGAAGGACAAATGCAAAAGAGTTGAAGGATAAATGCAGTGCATGTCTCGTGCATTACGGTTCGTTATGCAGAAACGATTGGCGGTCCTAAGCTGTGCAGCGTGTGAATAGTCTTGACCACCAGAGGAGATCGACAGCAGCAGAAAACCAGGCGATTCTGGCTTCAACAGCGTAAAGCCGCTACGATCCGCTATAGTAGAGACAGATATGGCTGCGGACTCACGAAGCCATCATCCTGATCAGATATCTTGAAATTGTAGTAGCATATTTTGTGGGTGTGGGTGGTACTTGCGAAGCTGTTAGAAGCTCTGCGCAGTCGGGCCATCCTTCTGCTTGACTTTCGGAAAGGGTACGACACGGTCGCGCGGGAATTTCTGTTCTTGGCACTCGTGCGCTTCGGATTTTCTCAGGAATTAGGTGATCCGGAAAATTCACGACGGTCCAATTCGTGGTTAACGGAGAATTTTCGTAGCCACAGGAGGTGGTCTCCGGAATACGGCAGAAGTGTCCGCTTGCTCCGTTGCTCTTTCTCATTGCGACGGAAATACTTGCGTTGGCAATTAAACAAGATGCTAAGTTCATCGGTCTGAAAGTGTCAGGAGGGGGTGGTGTTTTATGCAGGAGGTGCAACATATACTCAAGAGCGACATGGAGATACAATGCGGTACTTTAGCTACGCAGTTGAACAAAGGAGTTTACATCTACGCACTGGGCTATGTGCGTACTCTTAACGTACAATGGCGACCTGGCGACAGCGACTCAGCTCTCAACCCCCAGCGTCGAGAACAGAGTATTGATCCTCAACGTCATCAGCCGTGTTGTTCACTGGGCAGTAGTCGATCCCACCATGGGCAGAGCTACAGCTACGCAACCTTCAGAAGCAATTCTTGTGGCATCACTATATCGGCACGGAGCCAGGTTGCCATAAGATGAATCCAGCGCTTTTGTACACGCTCAAACATGCGGGAGGAGTCGGCCTTCATACTGTTTGTTGCATGCAAGCCGCAGCAGGTGAAACAGGTCATACTCTGGCTCACCTAACGCAAAGACATCTATTTCCTGGCCTGGCATGGGCTTTCCGCGGAGCAACGCAGGACTGGACAGCAGAAGGAGTGTTTCCGCGCCAAGAAAGAGGACCGTAGCTTTCCAAGGAACGTAGGAATCCTGGACACACTCTCCAGCAGTTGATTAGACCTTTCTGTTACCAACACTACCGGACCCTGAGGGTAGGCAGCAGCAGTACACAACGGAGCTCGAAACAGAGGCGATCAGTTGGACGACAACGGAGGAATGGGTGCTGAAGCTCTCTTGACCACTCCGTCACTTACCCAGATCAATAACACCAGAGGAGGAAACATTTTGGCCCGCGTACTCTTTCGGCCGGAACCCATGAATTGCAAACCAGCAGGGGGACGTTTCAATGTCACAAAAGTATGCCATAGGTTCAGCCCAGCGCTATAGCGAAATTGCAGCTGCATCGGATATTGACGAGTTGCTAGCGCGCGAACCTAGAGGGCCACCAAGTTCTTCGGTGGCCAGCCACGATATACCGCCGGGCCAACCGGCGCTGATTCCTAGAAATCTTGCACGTAGTGAACACCTTGTAAATAGACGATCTGAACCTCTCTCTCTCAATTGCATCGGATTGAGGATCGAACGTATGCCTTCGTCATTCCGACGATAGGCGCAGTCACGCATCATCAAGCCAAGCTGCAACGATAGGGCCTAGCTATTTTGCTGCGCGCATTGAGTGGAGGTGTTGGTGGAGGCTTACAAGTACGAAAGGATGACAAATGACTGTATTGAGAGCCACATTTCAAAAGGCCCGACCGCAAAATTGGTTGTTGTGGCCATTGTTTTGTTTAGTTCCTCTTTGCAGTCGATTGCGGTAGTTGTACGAGGCTGGTCACCTATGGTGGAGGCATGCAAAAATTGAGTGTTAAAGCACGTTGGATGTGTAAGTCAGCCAACATCCACCAGGCTTGCAGAAGTAGGAGCGTTCTCTTCCTTGTAGTTCGTTCGTGTTTACTCCGTTCCTGCTTTGGCTAGGGCATATATCACGTCGCATTCCCAGCTTTTCGTGGTCAGTCCAAGCCTTAGCCCCTCATCACGGCACCCCCTTCGGCGGGAATCCTCCCACGATGGAACCAAAGTGGGTGGGGTCATGTCTCGGGCATGCATCTCGCGCGGCCACTGGTTATGTGAACCCAGCAAACCAAGGGAAGATACTCCGCTGGTGGCATTCTCGCGCCACGCGTCATCGCTTCGACAGTAGCGCGCTCCAAGTCCGACGGGCCGCGCAAGCGGTTATTTAGGGCCACACCCCACGACACGCGCCATCGCTCCGGCGACCGCGCATTTTTTTTTTTTTTTTTCAGACAAACAGGCCGCTCGAGTGGCCCATAAGGACATAACCAACGGTTCACGTCTACTGCCATGCTGCATCAGCAAAGCCGGACAATCTTAAGAGCGTCACCGCAGGTAGCCAGCTCCGTACAATCACCGGACTCGATCGAGCACCGGCAAAGCTAGCCAGGCTTAGGAACTACTAGACATCCTGCAACCCCTAAACGATTTGATCGACTCGTTTGCCTCTTTCGAGAGAAGAACAGACCGTCTATTTCAAACATTAAGGATTGGTAAGATGTCTGGAGTGCTTCTACCAGGACTTCGTCATTCTTCGCCTCGCTGGCTCAATCTGCTGGCTCGAGACGTCGGGCGTCACGGGGGACACTCCGAAAAGGGCACGTGGAATCAGGTATCCAGCCCGAGGTGTAAACAGTGGCTCAATGATCGCAACAAGCGCCGGGCACCACACCGATCAGTCCCGATCGACCGCTGATGCACCTGGACGGGGCCGATCAATTCACGTTCTTGGCAAGTTCACTTCGTGGGACCGAGATTCGCGCTCATTTGCCTCTTTCTTACTATGCATGCGTCAGATACCATATGTGATTACACACGTGGGATGTAATCCCATCCGGACAAGACACGGCCGGGGTCGCCATTGCATAAGTACTAATCGTTTGCTCGTCCGTATGCGACAGTAACGGCTGTCCATAGGCCTACTCACATAGCCGACCTTGATGGTTTTCTTTACCATATTCTGTCGATAAAGCGGTGTTGGATGCAGAGTATCCTTGGTTATATCGCCCGATAGATGACAAACGACCAAGACGATCACGACAATAAACGCCGTGGCCAGAGGATCGTCCCAGTTGGTTCTCATATTTGGTATAGACATTGGGAACTGCAAAGCATCCGATTCGAAACAGCTTGACGTACATAGCAATGTTTGAACTTGATTTTCCCAAGGAAGGAACTGTCGTTAACGTCGGGAATCATGGGGATCGATGGGGACTCGACATAAACTCACACTTTCTCCTCTATTTTTTCCACGACCCCAAACTTCTCGATCACTCTGTGTGAGATACGTGCAGGGGTCTGCATACCTTGCATTCACCGTGTCGTTACAGGTGGAGATGTTGCGTGGCGCTTTTGACAATCTTTTGCTTAAAAAGCGACGAAGACATGCCGTAGAAGAGATGGAAAGTACACAGCTGAATTGTTATCTTTGTTCGCGATGTGGCGACCAGAAGAAGCAAGAGGAACGTTGATGAAGATACGACCGTTCCATATCGATTCCTGTTTGACGAGGTCGCGAAGACACGTCCAGTGGATGGAACTCGAAGGTTGAAGTGACTGCAACAGCAAGCCGTTTTGTCGTGCGCTCGATGCACGTAGAAGAAGCTGCACCGTGGCATTGTCAACAACGAACTGTCTCATTAACAAACGAATACAAAAAGGTTCCGGAAGTGGATGCCGTAGAGTAGTGAACGCAGTTGGTGCTAGAAGAGACCGAAGCCGGAGCTAGTGATTAGTAGCAGCAGCTGAGCAAGTAGCACCTACACCCAACATTTCCAGCAGCTTCTAGAATTCGCAGTCAAATCTGTCTCACTATAAAGCGGCCTGGTCTCGCACTAGCATTTGTGCAGCAATACTTGCGTCTGTCCCGCAGATTGTGAGCGGCTTTACCCGATTGAACCCAGAATCGCCTAGTTTCTGCTGCTGTCGATCTGTTCAGATGGTCAAGACTATCCACAAGTTACACAGCGTAGGATCTTGAACCATCTCCCGCATAATGAACCCTCGTGCTAACAGCTTCGCCATGCAGCCGTCTTCTTTTGCATTTCTTTCTCAAACTCACTTTTCATTTTCCTCCATCCAGTGACTTTGGTCCTCAGTAGCAGATCAAGTTTGAATAAACAATGAAGACCATTTGCAACACGCTTCTCGTTGCGGCATTAGCCGTTGCAGCCGTTTCGGCCGATACCCCTGTGTCTGTTTGCAGAGATGCGACCTACACACTCGCCGACTCTCGCGGCGCCATTTGCTCCGGATCCGGTAGCGTTCCTGCCGGTACCGCTTGCCCGCTTAAGGGTGACACGACGACGACCGACTGCCACTATTACCTCAAGTCGTATGACAATCTTAAGTGCATGGCCCAAGAGGACGCTCAATGCGTCATTGTGGGTGGCAACACCTGGGGCTGTGTCTTCCCGTCCGTTGGTTGCATCGGCACCAACACCGCCTCTCCGTGTCCCACGGGCTGGGGCACAGACACGCCGGGGTCGTCGTCTATGAACGCGTCCTATAGTAAGATGACGCCAATGGCGCCTGGACAATCGGCCACGACGCCTGGACAATCGCCTATGACGTCAGGTCAATTGGATCCGTCATCGCCGATGATGTCGGGTCCGTCGTCTGTGAACGCGTCCCATGGTGAGATGATGCCAACGACGCCGACGATGCCTGGTAAAATAACGCCAACGACGCCGGTGATGCCTGATGGAAAGGCACCGACGACGCCTGATGTAGAGACACCGCCATCGCCTGATGGAAAGGCACCGACGACGCCTGATGTAGAGACACCGCCATCGCCTGATGGAAAGGCACCGACGACGCCTGATGTAGAGACACCGCCATCGCCTGATGGAAAGGCACCGACAACGCCTGATGTAGAGACACCGCCATCGCCTGATGGAAAGGCACCGACGACGCCTGATGTAGAGACACCGCCATCGCCTGATGGAAAGGCACCGACGACGCCTGATGTAGAGACACCGCCATCGCCTGATGGAAAGGCACCGCCATCGCCTGATGTAGAGACACCGCCATCGCCTGGTGGAAAGACACCGCCATCGCCTGATGATAAGACACCGACAACACCGATGTCGCCGCCAATGTTGCCTACTGAAAAGAAGCCTACGTCACTGATGACGCCAATGATGCCTAGTGAAAAGAATCCGATGCTACCGACGACGCCTGTTCAAATGCCAGGCTCAATCCCTGCTACTAATGCACCCGGATCCGGCAATCCGTCGTCGGACGCGACACCTGTTGTTGCGCTACCCGGTACTCCCGAGACGGACGGTAAGCCTGTGACTCCCGTGCCGACCCCGTGCCCCCCTTTGACACGCGCATAGGACACATCTTTTCGATGACTGCATCTATGACGCCTTCATGAACTTACCTAGTACCTTTAAGATTTTACCTGTGTATACCACGGCGATTTCTATCTGGACGACGGAGTCTGCAGCAGCTAGTTGTTTAGTTTAACTGGAGCAAGAAGTTCTGTAAGGTGATGTTTGTCCTTGTTTGTCCTCGTACAAGTCTCGACTTGTGGGAGGACAAGTAGACCTCTGACATTCATAGTGTAACGAACAATATGCATCCATTTTAAACTTTATCTCGTTTAGCTGGCAGCAGCTACTGCTATCAGCGACTCCTTTTCCTGTTCAGCGTGCACATTAATGACCGAGTGGTAAGTAGTGTGCGGGTTAAACGCTGCTATCACCGGGGCTTTGTTTAGACTGCCATATGAGGTCGTTAATCTCTGAGAATTTCTGGACTTAGTCACAGCTTCCAGTGCAGTTGCAGCAGCCAGGATCTCCATCTCTTCCTGGCGAGACTCTTCCGTACTGTAGTAAGTGTAGTAGAGCGCCACCTGTACAATGCTAAGCACGGAGCCAATGGCGTTTGGCGTAAGCACGTACAAGTCGCCCTCGGTGATGCCGAACGCCACCCACAAGAGCCCGTTGAGCAAGTTCGCCGAGCACAGCGTAATGGGCAGCGACGCTGCCGATTTGGTTTGTACCACCCGTTTCATGGTATCTAGTGGTGACACATAGAGGCAAATGTTGATGGAGATGCACATCATTGCCAACGTAGTAACCACCTGTTCTCGTGACTGGTTCGTAACTCCGTGAGCGCCCAGGATTACGTAGGCCATGCAGAGCGCCATGACGGAGCCCGCCTTTGCAATGATTCGACGTACCGCTGGTCGGTCTGGACTCCAGCGATAGTAAACAGCGATGAAGCCAGCGCATGTACACTGACCTAAGAAACAGGTGGCGAAGAGCGGGAAGAGCTGGCCGACCATGAAGCCGTACATTGTCCACAAAAAAGAGTTGCAGAAGAGCATGACAACCGGCAATACAGTCAGCGGCCCAGGGGTGCGTTGGCGATGTATGCGCGCAAATTCCGGCCACGGAGAGACGTTGAGCAGCACGGACGAGCAGGTGGCAAGCACGCGTAAAGACTCGAGCAGAATCGTCATAACTGGTTTGGTTTGGGTAGTTTCGAGTGTGAGGTGACAAGGTGAGATTGAAAGTGAGCAGAGCAGTAAATGCATGCAATGCAAGAGCCGCTGCGAGACAACTTACCTAATAAGATGCAGAGAGAGTATCGAGCGAGTTGGAGCATCAACACATACACTATGTCGACGCTAAACTTTAGTAGACCAGCACTCCCCAATTTGCGGCGCAGTGATCAAATCTGGTCACGTTGGAGTATAAAAGGAACGGTCTTCACTGGCTTACAAGAGAGAGCGTAATGAGGCCGCCTCACCTACCTCCTCCGGGAGGGGGGATGAAAAGGCCGAGTCGACAACGACGACAGGGAACGGCCCAGCCAACGGACAGGGCATCGTCGACGACATACTGGACGACAGCTCAAACCGAGGCGCAGTTCTGGCGGCAGTGGCTATTCGGAATGACAACGGCGCCAAGGGTGCCGTGGAACCTGGTGGATCCATCTTCTCCGGCCAGGCTGTATCTCCGGCATCGGAGGTTACGGGCCATGGTGACAGTGAATCTACCACGCCTCATCATCCGGTAGAGCCGAGCAGCAGACATGCGCAACAGAAACAGGCAGTGACAGTGAAGGGTCCACCCGATACAAGGGAGGCTTCATCGACAATAAGGGGGGCAGAGGATCCAAATGACAGAGCTGGAGGATCTGTTGCCGCAACCCAGCCAGCACAAACCGGCAAATCACCAGGAGCGCAGGCGCCAATTCCGCTACACGCAACGTCGGCGGAAATGTTTACGGCTCTAGTGGAAGACATGATCGACTCGCCCAATGTGGGACAGGTCGACGCATGGTGCACGACAGTGCGACAGTTGTTTGCGGACATATACAAGACAGTCCCGTGTAAAGCGGAAGCACTGCCTACTGAAAGGAAACGCTTTCCTACCCTGAGCGTAGCGGAGACGGCAAGTCTGCTGGGCCTGTTTGAGCAAGTCTTTGTTAAGGGCAAGGGGAGCTTTGCGGAGTGAAAAATCATGGCAAAGGCCATCACGCATGAATTATTGACTACAAAGTGGGCGTTTAAGGAGATTATCCGCCGTCTAGCCAGCAAGCATAAATGGGCTCATTCCCCCGTTCTGAACCAGTAGACTCAGGTAGTCCAACATGGAGAGTCATTACCACGTCGGCAACCGGAGCGCGCCAGTTCTCAGACCTTTGATGATTTCATGTTTAATCCCGAGAAGTTCACATGCGCAGAAATTGAACGATTCAAAGCGATGTGTGCAGCGCCCGCAGCCCCGGCAGGACATCATCAAGTACGGGCAGGTACTGATGATGAATGGGCGATAATCGTCGGGTTGGTTGAAGGCACGGTGGCATGTCGTCGTATGCCTGCCTTTATCAAACAAGTTCTTAGGAGTGAGGAACGGCTACGTCTGTACAGCACGAATTAGGCTCAAGTGGAAGGTGAACTAGTTTTACGGTTGGATAAATCCCGAGCGGTTAAAGCGAACAGGCAGACTACAAAAGCAATTACGGAGGCAATATTGGAGTCGGCGGAACTTGCACGGATCAATCTTCATGCGCTACATCGCATGTTAAGTCAAACGAAGACGATAAGCTACGACCAAGTCACGAAATCGATTCACTTTTATTTCTTTACTAGGGAGACGGCAGAACACCACAAAGAGGTGCGAGTACCGTATTACGGTGGCGTGTACCAGCTCGTCAATGCCCACAGGCCAGACAAGGGGTCGGTTTGGCTTCGGCAGAAAGGTCTTAATGGGACACCTACCGGGCGACGGGTGGAATACACGGTGCAGTTGCACAACCTTACCCGATTTAATGATATTGGGCGAATTGCGGCCTATTTAAAGGCAAAGATTCCAACGGAGTTTGACATGGAAGATATGGATACGCATACCCCGGATTCTCGGACGTCTACAATTTGGAGAGTCACCTTCAAACTGGCAGGATGCCCGACATTTTTAAATGGGGTGGTTCGGGTACTTTGGTTTGGCACAACCATCATCGTTAAACACCCAAACGTTGGTCACCGCATACAATGCCTGCAGTGCGGAAACCTGGGGCACACCCTAGCGCGTTGTCGGTTCACCGACGATCAGTTGCAGGGACCTGGTGGTATTGTGGTGACCGAAGCGGATGTTCTTGATCTCGCCGACTTAGCCAAACCGTTTTCAAATATAGCAGAAATTAAGGCTATGGCGGTTCAACGGCTGAAGCTCCAAAAGGAAGCGGAAGGGGCGGCCCAAGCAGCTGTAACACCGACTCGGGCCGTCGACGTCACTGAGACTTCTCCAGGGCACACTCTACCAGTGGTTCATGGGACGAGCAGCGCTCCTCAGGCAGAACAAGGAGCTAAGTATGTCCACCTGCAACCGGAACCATCCCCCCCCCCCGCGCAGCAACCGTGGCTCACGAAGGCAGACAAAGGGGGGCGATCACAATCACAGTGGGTAAAGAAAATGGTTGCAACTGCTGCCTCAGCATCAACGTCCGGAGTATATCAGGTGCTCATGGAGGACGACGACGAATCGGAAGGAAAAGTTGACACTAAGCGCAATAGCGTGGCGAAACCTTTGAAGTCACCTGTGGTCGATTTGACGACGGAATCTAATAAAGGACATGGCCACACCGAAAGGTCTCGTCTTTCATCCGACGACAAGCACCGAAAATCGGCAGCGACAATGCGCGTCCCAGCACCGGCTGCAACGGGACCCGTTATACTAACGCACAAGAAGAAAGAGAGAAAGACTTTTCAAAGCTAGTCACCGGGGAGACGGTCACGAAATTTCCATCGCTGCCGATGGGCGCAAGATCGACAACTTCACCAGCAACATTGGCAGAGGTAGAAGTTCAGTTGGGAGTCCGTTCGGTCGTCACGCCGGCGACTGGAAATTGCATGGCTATGGCAATAGTACAGGCGGCAGCAGACGCAACTTTGGACGGACCAGGAAACACACTGGAGCTGCTAACTGCCAGCCTTAAACGAGGCATCAAATTTTCAGGGCTGTTAGATCTGGAAGGTCAACTCGCCCATGACCATCGAGTGCAGGCGCTTGCTAATGTTAAGCGAGGATGGACCTCCATGACGAGACAAGAGTCGGCCACACAAATGCGATGGTTCCTCGAGGATTTTGCTAACAGCTCTTCCAACAGAGCAGTGGAAGTAAGTGACGACACTTGGGGGGGAAGTGACACGGTCGGCATGGCAGCTAATTTTTTGCAACGGAAAATTTATATACTGCAGCAATCAGATGGCCCGAAACAGGGGTGACAGTGCAAAAAATTTATACCAACCACGATCACACGCAATCGACGAGTTTTAGAGACAGCTGCGGAATATACACTGTCACTGATGGATTTAATAGACGAAGTCGTGGCAGCCAAGATCGAGAATCCCGGACAACCACCCCTGCTGCTGCATTTCTGGGGACGACATTACTCGGCGCTTCTCCATACTGGTCGCACCAGACAGCTCCCAGACTTTGCGGAGGAAGTGGAATGTAAGACTCCGGTTTCGACTGAGGACCTTCCTGCGGTAACGCACGCAAACTCGAGTAAGCCACACCTAGCGCTGAGGACGGCACCGGTGGATGCTCCGATGAAAGATCCATGGGACCCAGATTCTTGGAATGGTACACCAGACGCGGCTTGGGCCGCGTTACAGGGATGCTCGGTGCACCCCGATTTACACCACGATCTCCACGTGCTCTTTAGAATTGACGAGCCAACGCGGTCTCGGGACCTCATTAAAGGGGTAGTAACGGCAGCGATTACAATGGCACTGCCGGCTCAGCAACAGTTTGCAGCGGTATTAAGGGGGGCGGAAGGCGAGGAGGCCGAACTCGCTCTAACTCAGCGCATGCAGATTACGAAAGAAAGGTTGAGGCTTTGGCAATGCCAGCTTCAAGCGGCGGGCCACATGGCTCTTAACCTCGACCGTCGCTGTTTTCCTCCGGCCAGGGAAATCGCAGGTTTACTGACAAATGGCAACGGTCCTCATGATATGTCGAACACAAGCCGCACCTCAGTAGGGGAGTGTCAAGCTCTGGTACAGCACCAACCTACAGTGGGTCAAAATTTCAGTTCACTGGGCGTGCACGAGGTTTTACCAGCACTCCCCACCACGCCTCCGGCGGGGGTACGAGACACTTCAGATGGTGCTCGAAAAAGAGGCCATTTAGCCTCCCCAGACGAACGGATAGTAACTGGAACTGTGGTGCGACACCAGCACAATGATGCTATTTTAAAAAAAGGACGACACGACACAATTACGTCGCAGATCACAAATGTGGACGCCTCTGAGCGCATAGATAGAGATGATTGGGCAGCTACGTGGGAGACACTAGCTCAGGGGTGGTCACATCCCGCCCACATCCCTTTCCCGACAGCTCAAAGCTCTACGATAGAGTGGCAAAGGGTAGCCCGGCATGCATCGGACCTTTTACTGTGGCATGTCAAGCGTTTCGTCTTTCCAGGGGAGCTCTTGCAGATGTTGGACGTGTCCGTTTTTGAGCACTGGATGACAGACAGTCGACTTTCATGTTTAACGGATGGGCTTAAGACGTATCGGAAACAATTAAAGGACCAGCCTACACAAGCATGGATTGATCAATGGATCGCTAATACGCAGCACCGCAGTCATCATACCAAGCTGGCGCCGCTAGTTGACAACGCTGATGATTGGAAATTACTCCGTGCACATAACTACGCGGGGGACGATGTACTCAAATTATGCGATCCCCAGCGTAAAACCCGGCTCAGTCAGCACTTGTTGTGCGCGCTACTGTACGACACCGAAATAGCGGCGCTCGTCAAAGGCGCACCGACGGCTAAACGAGTGTCTGACAAACTTCGATCCCATATTCAACTAATCATCACGAACGGACGATATAAGGAAGCGTATTACAGCCCGACGAAATCGGCTAATTGGGTTGCAATCGAGCGATTTTTCTGCTCGGGACTGACCCATACGGAGGAAGCTAGTCTTATTGAGTACTAAGG